ACCAGAACAGGCTGGGGGCTGACTGGCTGAGCAGCAGCTCTGCAGAAAAGGACATGGGGGTTACTGTGGACAATCAGCTGAATATGAGCCAGCAGTGTGCCCTAGTCGCCAAGAAGGCTAATGGCATACTAGGCTGCATCAGTAGGAGTGTTGCCAGTAGGTCAAGGGAAATGATTATTTTCCTCTGTTCAGTACTGGTGAGGCCACATCTGGAGTACTGTGTTCAGTTTTGGGCCCCCCACTACAGAAAGGATGTGGAGAGGTTGGAGAGGGTCTGGTAGAGGGCAACAGGAATGGAGGCTGAGGGACATGACTTGTGAGGAGAGGCTGAGGGAACTGGGCTTATTTAGTCTAGAAAAGAGGAGACTGAGGGGATTTTATAGGAGCCTTCAACTACCTTAAGGGAGATTCACAAGAGGATGGAGCTGGACTGTTGTCAGTGGTGGCAGATGACAGAGCAAGGAGCAATGGTCTCAAGTTGCAGCAAGGGAAGTTTAGGTTAGATATTAGGAAGAATTTTCTCACTAGGAGAATAGTAAAACACTGGAACAGGTTACCTAGAGAGGTGGTCGAATCTCTATCCTTGGAGGTTTTTAAGACTGGCTACACAAAGCTTTGGCTGGGATGATGTAGCTGGGGATGGTCCTGCTTTGAGCAGGGGGTTGGACTTAACCTCATCAGGTCCCCTCCAACCCTAACTTTCTAAGATTTCTATGAAGAGTTGCAAGCTTCCTCTTTGAAACAAGTTGTAAACTTTCCAGGAAGAATATCAGTACTTTTTGCAGAATCTAAGCTTTTGGGGTTTTTTTGCAATTCAGTTTCTAGCCCTTGTGTTTGTATAGATTGCCTATTACATATGAACCGATATGAAACCAATGCACTGCTACTTTCTTGAATACCTGGATGGCATCAATGTGTCATTGCTGAAAAATCACACACATTTCAGCGGAGTGAATACTGACCACAGCCTAGTCATTTTTGTTTTCCAGAAGCCTGCATCAGCTAAAATGATATTGGTTTGGTATTTGTTCATAATTGAGAGATTCAAATCTGAAGGCTAGGGTATGGGAAAGGAAGCTGAAACACTTCTCCCCCTTTTCCTCAGCCAGAAATCTGAGTGAAAGTGTAGTGAGTAGCAAAATATTGCGTCCCTCGCTGAAGCTGGGAGGGTGCCACAGTTATAAGTAGTTTCTCCTCCCTTATTCCCAGCTCCTGGGGCCAAGCAATTCTAGCAAAGATCAGAAAGATCACATCAGACACCTGCTGGCTAGACCAGGGCTGAGCAAAATGCGGCCCATGGGCTGGATGCGGCCCACCAGGCCATTCCATCTGGCCTGCGGGGCCCCTAAAAAATGTAGAAAATTAATATATATCTGCCCCTGGCTGCCTGTCATGTGGCCTTCCTCCCGATATAATTGCCCACCCCTGGGCTAGACACTGATATAAAAGGGAGACTAGGAAGAATTTAGGGCGGTTCCTTGGTAATACTTTTGTTACCTTTCCTAGAAGCTGCAGAAGAAGGTATTGTGTTATTCCTCACTGTCACGCTTGGCAGCCAGTAGGATTAGTCCTCATTACTAGGTGGTGGGTGAAATTCTAAGCCCCATATAAACATATTCAAATATATAGTGACAAACCTAAGCTTAATTCTCTTTTAAGTTACACAGAAAGAGTTGAGAAAAATGGAGAAACAGAAAACAGAAGAAAGTAAGATTATAGTATAGGAAGGATTGAGGGAAAACCAAATGCCATACTGCCCAGACAACCAGGACTAAATCAGCAGGTATAGTGCAGGCCAAACATGTTATCCATATTATTTGAGGAACCATACCAAGCACCTTTCCTACACATCTGCACATCTACATCCTGTTCTGTAAAGCCCCTACATCTGCAGATCAGGGCACGGGGCTGGGAAGCAGCAGTTGAGGGACTGTACATTTTTCACACCCCATGTCCTAATCTGCTAATAAGAGCATGGGGCTGGGAAGCAACACCTGGGGGAGAGGACATTTTCCCAGCCCCAGTCTATGGATTGGAGCATGGGGCTGGGAAACAGCTGCCCAGCGGAAGGGACAGCTTCCTTACCCACTGCTGATTGGGAGCAATTTGCTCCCGGTCAGCAGTCTACACCTGTGCTACTGCACACTAAATTGGCCACCACAGTAGACTAATCTAGTGTGCAGTAAATGGTGTGCACATGTAGATGGTGATGCTTTACTGTGCAGTAGATTAGTCTGCTGCACTTTAAAGCATTTTGTGTACACACACCCTATGTATACTTCTCAGGGCATAATTTTAGCACCAAACGTTGCCCACCAGGAAGGGTGAGATACAGGTTGTGAAGAAAGGTAACGAAATCACTCTTTAGTGTTGTGGTGTTTCATTGCTATTACAGCTGGCTGTAGAAATATGGTGAAACTATTTTACCCCTTTATGGCATCAACTAGTAGCATTCCCTTTGCAGGGGTTAGCACACTGGCTCACAAGGTGGATCTGTCCCCACAGAGCTATTTTATTGGGCCTCCAGAGCTGGGGGACTTCTGCAGTGTTTTAGCAGTAGAGGGCTTCAACCATATAGCAGCTGGGTAGTGAAGATAAGTGGAGCGGTGACACAGGCCAGATTGGAAGCAGCCTGCCTTTCAAGCTAGCTCCATTAAAACAATCCCCACCCAAAAGGAAGTTTCTGACTCCTTCCCTATTCTATTCTGAACAACAATTGTGCTAGTATTCACATAGTCTCTGCTTTTGCCTTCAGTCTCCCTCTGTTTGCCTCCTCTTCCACTGATGCTGTTGATAACTTTGGGTGTAACTGATATCCTGATAGGTCATGAGAGACTCCGGTAAAATGTCACACGTGTTTTCTTTTTAGATCTTTCCCCTTCAGAGAACAAAAATAATGAAGCTGAAGATAAAACAAGAAAGGAACGTGGTTCTGAAGATGAAACTCTAAATTCTGGAAAACTTAACAACATTCAAGAAGATCTAAATGTTGTAGAAGAAAGAGAGAGTGTTCAAAGTACTTCTGCCCCAGTTGATAATGAAGACTCTTCTATATTGGAGGATATGCCAGAAAATGCAGGTGAATCGGCAATGAATGATATCGAATCCATTATTTCTGAAGACCGTGTCCATCTATCATTACCTTCATCTTCTAGAGAAATGGATAATTCAGAAAATCCTGATATGTCTCATGTGATTACAAAACATTTAAAACAACTGGATGTAAAACAGCAAGAAGAGACGTTGCTACTACACGAGTACAACAGCAAAGCACTTTCTCTGAGATTGTCTGCATATAAGCATAAGAAGAGGCTGAATTTCAAATGCAGGTTTTGTAGCTCTGCATATAAATGTACCAGTCTTCTAAAGAAACACATTTACTCAGTACATCAAGATAAAAAAATACACAAATGCTACTTTTGCCAAAGAACCTTTTTCTTTTTTATCAATCTGAAATTCCACCTTGCATTTCATAAGGCAGGGTTAAAATATATAAGAAAATATAGCAAAGTGAACATTGCACAAGATGGAAAAAACATAGAGCAAGCACAATCTTTGGATAAGAAAAAGGAAAGTAAATATGAGACATTTTTCATCAAAATTGGAAGGGATTTTAAAACGATAGATACTCCAACTTTTTTTTCTTGCAAAGTGTGTCTCTTTGCTTCACCAAATCCTAAAGTTTTTATTTATCACATGAAGGGACATAGAGACACACCGCCTTATCAGTGTCCTGAGTGTGACTATTCCTGCATTAGCTTGTCTTACATGCTGAATCACATGTACTGGCATGCTGGCTATGAGCTGTATAAGTGCAGGTTCTGTAATTTTTTCTCGCTGTATTTTGCAAGCATGATAAGACACAGCTACATGCATACAGGGGCCAAACCATATTCCTGTGAATTTTGCCAGTCAGCATTCACAAGTACAAGTGGCTTAAAGCGCTGCAGAAGTATGCATCCTGGCAAAGAACTGTGCAGAGTCCATCAACACCTCAGCTTTTCAGTCCTGGAGAGGAGAAATGAAAGACCTTCAAGGAGTTACACGTGTGATCAGTGTAACATTGTATTTTACACTAAACGACACTTGCGCTTTCATAAGAAATTTCACAAACAAGTTGAAGGTTATGCTTACATGAATGAGGGTGACAGCTGTCATAGAAGTGAAGCATATGGAGATGACGGAGATTTCCCAAAGGATCAGATTCCTCCTTCTGCTTCTAACAATAGTGATGATGATCACTTGGTTAATGAAACATACCTGGACTTAGCTTCAGGATCAGAGTTTAAACAGGGGAGTGATCTCCAGAGGGATATGAATACAAGGTTCGACACACAATTTTGCAAAAGTAGCCAGCAGCAAAGTAACAAGCTGTCTATTGTAGGCAATGGATCAGAAAATCTTCCTAATACTTACCAGCATGATTTTGTGTTGCCGAAATTGTCTCAAGAGGTCGCTCATTCACAAGTTCCAGGATGTAATGAAATTGTTACAAATTATGAGCCTCTGGAAAGTGTTATACCTAATGCCACATGGTCACCCAGTAGGACTTCTTTCAAACTGTTCAGGTGTCAACACTGTGATTATGCCACTTACATGTATAGCAACCTTAAAATGCATTTGAGGACACACACTGGTGAAAAACCATTTGAGTGTAATGAATGCAGCAAGATGTTTCGGACCTCTAGCCATTTGCGGAGACATAGCTACATGCACTTACAGGAATGTCATAAATATGATGATTCTTACCTGTATTTAGGGAACAGTTCAAAACATATTAAAAAGCATTGTAAAACTCAGAAGGGCACAACTCTAAGAAGAGATGATCTTAGTTCTTTGGAAGACTTGGAGCGTGTCCATTCCGTGTTCAGCCCAGAAAGCTTTGAGAAACAGATGGATCTTTACAGGGGCAAAGAAAGCAAAAATGCTCTGCCATCACGAAGTCAAGCCGAATACTACAAGTGTGCAGAGTGCAATTACACAACATACGTTTTGAGTAACCTTAAGCTCCACATCATGATCCACACAGGTGAAAAACCCCACACCTGTGATATTTGTGAGAAGAAGTTTCGTACCTCAAGTCACCTAAATCGACACAAGCTCCTGCATTTCAACATGGAGCTCTTCAAATGTAAAACCTGTGACTATTCAACAGACAAATGGCAAACTCTCAAGCAGCATCTGGTTTCACATATGGATGGTACCAAGCTCCGAGAGCAGTCACCACTATCTGTCAAAACCTACAGGTGTCAAGAGTGTGACTATGCCACTGCTCACAGTGGAAATCTGAAGCAACACTTGCGAATTCATACAGGTGAAAGGCCATACACGTGCGACCAGTGTGCTCTTGCTTTCCGCACATCAAGCCACCTCAAGCGCCACTTGCTGACTCATTTGACGTTACACTGCAATACCTGTGAGTTTTCCACTAGGGATAAATATGCTTTGAAGAAGCACATAAAAGTGCACAAGGATAAACCTGCAGATACCTGAAGTTCAATGTAATGCTTTCCATCCTCAGTTTTGTATAGAACCATCAATCAGCAGTGTTTGAAGACTGGACAGTAAAATAGGATTCATTAAAATTTGGGGTTATAAGCTCCAGGAAGTTCACAGTATTTCAAACATGTTCTTTGCCCTGCATCCACTATGCGAACTGTCCTCAATTTTAAAGTTGCTGTGGTAAAAATTGTGGAAGCACCCATGGGATCTGGGCTATAGTACACTGAATGGAAATTAAGGGATGATGCATAAAGCTGACATAAACCACATGTACATTTCTCAGTTTAAGTTCCATCATGTGCTGTGTTAAAAAGACTCAAAGCTGTTAAAAGCCCAGTGTAGTTTAAGAAAAGGGTGAAAATCTAGGCCAGGGTTGGTATAGGAAAGAGTTGTTCTGTAAGTGCCCACCTAATCAATAAATACACTTTTGCACCACCTACCATTGCCTTGTGAGCAAGGATGTGAGGTACTGTTTGAGTTCCTGTACTTATTTTCAGTACAGGCCCCACCTTTATATTAGGCTGATCCTCTGTGTACCACATAATTGAGGTGTGCAGACAAAACGTATTTAAGTGAAAGAATTTTTAATCCAATTCTTTCTAGCACATCAGCAACTTGCAAACTAAAAATTGCAGAGTTGTTTGAAAAAGTAGTTGAAAATGGATCCCTCCTCCCATTTGCTGTATCTTGCAATCCCTGTTCTGGGGTTTTTCTATACCAATGTCCAGAGGACAGACTTAAGAAAATAACTTATGGAACCAGGTCATGGCAATCACCAAATTAGAGATGTACGATGTCGGTTAAATGGGTACGTGCAAACACATTCCAGTCAATAGATTACTAGCCACTGATCCTTGTCAATACCTTGGCTTTTCAGTCCTGGAGAGGAGAAATGCAAGACTTTCCAGAGTCACCCTTCACCACTTTTTTGAATGTGGCAACATCCCCAGTTGTGAACCACTTTGTTGCTGGCTCAGCTTACCTCAGTGCTTCTCAACCAGGTGTTGCTGCCTCCAGGTAAAACTGCCGTACTTGCCTGCTGCACAGCGAGACTGAGAATGGCTGTGGCACGTGTGTGTGATCTTCCTGTGTAGGGCTCTCTGATTAACGTAAAGCAGGCAGGAGCTACCTCCTACTGTAGCCCTTCCCAGTTCAGCACTCCCAGGAGCACTTGCACCTCTCATGCCTCTGATTCCAGGTCGAGTGGGAAAAGGGACAGACTGGGAAGACCTACAGTCTGAGCCAGCTCCTGCCTGCTTTAGGGTTATCAGAGAACCCTAATGCAAAAGTAAGTGTGGCATCGCAGCACTCCTGCAGGTGTCTCTTAGCACTCTGGTTGAGAATCATTGATGTGAACGCACCTTTTGATGCTTATTTACTTTTCCGGCAGCCTGACAGAAATAATTGTGTATATTTTGCGTGCCACCATTTTAGTGGCCTAATTTTGTGAGATGCTGAGCATCCTCAAAACTTGTTTCTGGATAAATACCAAACTTGTTTGCAACAAAAAAAGTTGGAAGTGGAAGCTACAAAGAGTGGTTGGCTCCAGCTGAGTCCACCACTTGTATCCATGTTGTTGTGCAGCCCAGTCCAGAAAATCTTCTCCAGGGTCATAAACATTTCAGAGAAAAAGTATGGGTCTTTTAATGTTTTATTATTATTTTAGGTAATAGTTATTTAAAGGAGATTTTTCTTAGAACTGCTTGTTTCCCATGTACCTTGTTTTTTAATAAAGTTCATAACCCATGAAGAGTTTTGTTTATGTAGGATTGTAGATCAAATAAATTATTTTAGAAGAGGTGACTAAGTTGATTCCTGCATCTGTTATAAATGTGGACTGCTGTTTCTGAAAAATACACTTCAGTTCATGGTCTACATTGCTGCCCATATCTTTTGAAAAATTCTCTGCTACCCATATGGAAAAGATAAATAATGGAAATATGTTGTATCTCTGTTCATCAGTTTGTATAAAACTATGTTCAGATAATGTTCATGGTTTTGATGTACATTTCCAGTATTAAAGTCTTAAATGTGTTAAAATAACCTTAGCTCAAAAGTTGCTAAAATGCAGTGTTAGCCACTGAAGTATTTACAGCTTTGCCTTTATAAACAGAGGCTGTTAATATGGCTTTTTCAAAATGCAATGAATACTGCAATAATTGTAAAGATTTTAATAACAATTGTAAAGCAGTATCTTGGAATACGCTGAAAATTTTCAGAATGCTTCTGTGCTGCAGTGATCACAAACTGCTTTCAAGCTACTTCATTTTATCAGGGTGTTTAACTGTCCCTCTAAAACTGAATGTACAAAGGCTGCTCAGCAAAGCAGTGGCTATTTCATTTCCTAATAGAAATACAGCATGAGGGACCAAACACTGGGCTCTTCACTCTGGATACAATAGTAGACCTTATTTGCATGTCCAAGATGTGCAGTGGCAAAATTTCTTAAGCAGGGGCTGAACCAGGGGATTTCTAATGGCAGGGGTTGTTTAGGGTGGCTTACTTGATATGATTATCCCAAAGGAGGTAGAAATTAGAAGAAAGTAATACTAAGAATCCCCTAATCTGCTCCCCTCCTTTCTGCTACATGTGTCAGGGTGTTTTTAAGCCTCTCTGAGGCATTGGGTTTTGGCTACAGCTAAGACTGAGGATTTTGGCTGTAATTTGCTAATGTTTCTGCTGAGACCAAAGCCAGAAGTTCCTCATCTTGCCCCTCTGCTCAGGGTCAGATCAATGATCATATTTGGGGTCAGGAAGGAATTTTACCCCATGGTCAGATTGGTATGGACTGAAGGGGCAGGGGGATTGCCTTCCTCTAGCAGGGGCGTAGCTCTCCCTGGGATGTCTTGAGCAAATGTTAACAACCTTTTATAGAAGGACATTGGCCCAATGTCCCAAACTGCATTCTTGCACCTGTGGCAGGTTAGGGTGTTACATCTTGTGTCACATCAGGATTGACAGTAATTTTACTAAGTGTATTTAGATGAAGGCTTTGCACAGGAAGCTTTGGATAGGGATGATCCTGCCTCAGGCAGGGGGTTGGACTAGGTGAAGTCTGGAGGTCCCCTCCAGCCCCACTTCTCCAGGACTCCCACAAAATGATCTTGCGTAGAGAACGTACGTTGCAAACAAAGATGTCGACGCGGGCAAAGCACACATTCCCGACCAGCACCCGCACGTTTCTCATGGATCAGGACAGACCAGTTGTCTTGCAACGGTGTAGGTTGTAGCTGTGGTGGTCTAAAGACGTAAGCAGGCAAGGTTTTTTGTGGGGTTAAATGTGATACCAGATTTCCCCAAGACCCTTGTCTTGCAAACACGGTTTTTAAATCGATTGGTTTCTGTAGCAGGAAGACGGGGCATTCAGTGGGGGTGGGTTTCATAGGCAGGATCTTTGTCTCGGGCAAGCTCCTTGACCACTCCGACGACCCCGGCAAGGAGCCAGAAATGCTGACCCTGGTCTGCAGTAGCCCCGCAGCTGCCAGGCCTCTAAACCCACACACTGCACTGGTGCCAGTGCAAGGGCAACTGGGTGGCGCGGGCCCTGCACCTTCCACTTGTGCGGGGATTTCAAGAGATCCTCGCCTAAGAGCACAAGCCCCTGCGGGGCAGAGCCAACACCACCCCCGTGCGCCAGGGGGCGCTACACTCTCCCTCCTTCCCCCGCCTTCTGCGCCCGCGCATGCACGAACGACGGCCGACATTCTCCGTTGCGCATGCGCACGCTCTGACACTCGCCAGCCCTCACTGCGCCTGCGCAGGATCCTATCCCGGCCTGCGCACAGGCGGCGGCGGCGGCTTCTCTGCGCCAGTTCTCCCCGCTGCGGAGCCTGCTTCTCTTCGCCGCCAAGATGCCGCGGATTATGATCAAAGGCGGGGTGTGGAGGAACACCGAGGTAGGCCCTTCCCCTTCCCGTCGATTTCCACGGGGCCAGTCAACGGGCGCCGCTTCTGCACTAGAGCGCATGCGCTAAAAAGGGCCTGGGAGTCCTGCGCGTGCGCGTAAAGGGGGAGGGGGCTGGGAGACATGCGCATGTGCTGAGTGTGTTTCTACTGGGCTGCTTTCCGTCCCTGTGCCCAGATGCAGTACATGTCTCCCGGGCTCAAGAGGAAGATTAGGGGATTCTTAGTCCCGCTTTGAGTTTTTGCTTTTAACTTCTCAGTCTCCATCCTTTTGGGTGATGGTATATGGAGTAAGAAGCCCCAAAGCAACCCTGTTGCAGCCATGGGGCCCTGCCCTGTTCCTCATGTGGATAGCTCTGCCTCATTCCCCCCCCCTGCCCCGGGGCTGCAGGTGGGAGCTGTTGGGGCTGTGTCTGTCCTCACAACACAGGCAACTCGCTGCTGATTTCTCCTGGTCTGGCCTTTCCCAAAGCCCTGCATGTTGCACCTCTGAGTTGTGCCAAGGCTGCACCCCGCCCCCCAAAAAGGGCATAGAGCAGGGCTGGGCAATTATTTTGGGCAGAGGGCCACTTACTGAGTTTTGGCAAGCCATTGAGGGCCACATGACAGGCAGCCAGGGGCTGATTAATATTCATTTTCTAAATTTTTTAGGGGCCTTGCGGGCCAAATAGAATGTCCTGGTGGGCCACATTTTGCCCACCCCTGGCATAGAGGCTTGGAGATCTCATCATTGGATGATTAACACGAAGCAAATGATTAGTCACAATAAAAAACTGCTGTGACTGTTTCACTGTCACAGGGTTAATTGCACACATGACCGTTAAGACACAATTGACCAGGGAATTGTGTCTGAAGTGGTGACCGGGCCCCATGCTTCATAAATTAGTGGTGTGGTAAAAAGAGGAATAAGGCATAAAATTATTTTATGAAATATGTGCCATTGCTTTGTGGCTTGTTCTTATTGTACCATTAGTTGAACATGTGGCCACCCCTGTGACGGGGCTCAGATGTGAACCATGCGCGCTGCAAGCCCTGCAGCTGCTGGAGTTGCAGTCATGGCAGTGTCCCATGCATTGTCACAGCTGTGAGCCTTGTCAGCTGCAGGGGTCACTGCAACAGGAGCTTGCCACTTGTCAGTGCAGGGGAAGTAGGGCATCATGATCTCATGGTCCCCCTGCACAAGCAGTAAGGCATGATTGGATCTGATGTTGAATCCCACAATCATGCTTCCTGCCATGTATGTCTGGTGTGGCAGGAGGCATGATAGTATGGATCATGCATCAGAGCCCATCACACCTTTATCTCAATATCTAGAGGGGCCCTGTGTTACTAACCACCAGCAAAGAAATAAAAACTACCAAGAAAAGGGAATCTGAGGCTTATGAAAGTAAATATGTAGAGCATGTTTCATGTTAAATACTTAATATTCTCCTGAAATACCCTGCACCAAAACTCATCAGCCTCCCATTAAAGCCAGAATGTACTTTGGAAGGGCTTTTCAGTGTTAGGAAAATTTACCTGTCATCAGCACCATTAGCTGCTGAACTGGTGCTGAATATATGTTGACCCCAGCTGTCTGTTGTCAACAATGGATGCCCTTCCATTTTGCCCCACCATACAAAGCTGTAGCAAGTAGCTATGGAGCACTTCATAGATTGCACTTTTTTATGGCCGCTTTGTGTGCTTATGGCTGCACAAAACAAGACTTCTGGTTTCCACTCAGTTATTTAGGAAAGCATTGTCTTCTGCCCCCAGAAAAGTCTCAAAAGGGGTAACAAGCTTTTCAGCTTTTGAGCATTTGAAAGCTTGTCTAACTTTATCCCAGCTATTCAGGTGTCCAGTAAAAGGAATCGCCCCCCAAAAATCTTTGCCTCTCCCATAGCTTACCAAATCACTTATAGGAGAACAAAAGTTTACTGTAGGCCTAAGGGGCAAATGTAAGCATGTAAACTACTAGCTCTACTAGTACAAAGCTGGTGCTGGCAAGCTGGGATAAATTTATGTAATTTCTGTTGCATCCCTGAAGCTTCTAGTTTTGCTCTGCATTTGTACAGCATCTAGCACGATGGAGTTCAGACCCATGACTTGAACTGTCAGGTACTACGGTCCTGAAAAATAAAGACATCATCATCTTGAAATAAAGACTACTTAAAAAAAAGTAGTGAGTTTTGGCTGTATACCTGCTCTGATTTTTATGATATTTACGTGGGTGAGAATTTTTAAAAAATAGGATGTTCTTGCTTCTTGAAAGACCCACACAGACAGTGGAAGTTAACTGTACAGGAGAAACGGTGAGACTGACTGTTCCCCAAATGCTGTCACATACTCAGAATAAACGACTGTCACTATTTTCGCTTCATTAATCACATCTACCTTCAGGTGTTAACCCTTGCTGAAGCCTTGTCTGCATTTCCCTATTGAGTTGGAAGTGAGCATTTGGCTCTGATAAAGTTTACTGATGACCCATAGTAATAACTATTTCTCTTTTTAAGGATGAAATTCTTAAAGCAGCTGTAATGAAATATGGCAAAAACCAGTGGTCTCGGATTGCTTCTTTGTTGCATAGAAAGTCAGCAAAACAGTGCAAAGCCAGATGGTAAGTGGAGAAGACAAAAGCCATTACTAGCATTCAAAGACAAAGATCATTCATTCATTAAGTTAAGGGTCATTGTTGAGTTTCCTATTGGTTCAGGTCTAGTGGAAGAAGAAATAGTTTCAAAATTTTTAATTGGTTACATTTCCTGAAGGTATTGCAAGGACTTATTCTTTAAAAGGACTATGAACAAAAGTAGAAAACTATTCAAATAGCAGATGATAGCAATAACTGCACAGTATGCAAATAACTTATTTAAAATGCAAATTATTGGACTAAATCACATTTTTTTTTGAGTGTGATAACATTTGTCAAATATTCACTAAAAAGGTCATTTTAAGTGCATTTTTTGCAATAGATTTTGGCTGCAGGACCATAGCCTTTGCTTCTTTTATTTTGCATTACTGTATTTGTACTTAAACGTGTACATAGTTCGGCTTAGTTATAGTGCTCATGAAATCTGAACGGTTCAGACATTACAGGATCAAGACTCCAATGGACCTCTTGTAATCATTTGGATGTCATATATAAAGGTCCAGTTACTAGT